TTCAGGAATTTCACGTAAAATAATAGTGCATCGTTTGGAAACAGCCCGTACCCGTTCTCCTTTTTCATCCACTTGTACATGCGAAGATTCTGCAACACAGAACATATAAACATTGACAAGAATAAATCACCACCTAAGATTAACTGAAAAACAAATATTACGTCGGTACCAGTGATACTTGCAGTGATTTTTTCTCGGCATCAAAAAATGTATGCCAAATATTAACAGTCGCTTATAAGCCAGTGTGAGAAAGACATATTGTCGAAACGGTTTACTGGATCTGCGAAGCTTTATTGGAGTTTGAATAAACGCTGGTACCTCGCAGGACTTTGACGACCAAATTATAATCGCTGGTAAGTCGTTTCACTTTCGGAAAGCCAGCAATAATTCGTATTGGTACATACTGATCGTTGTCCATCTGGCAGCGCAAAAACCTATCCGTCATCAAATTTTCCCTAGAAATACTCTTTGTTCCACAGACTAACTGACTAAAGTAGCAGCTTAAGAAATTGCACTTCAAGGCTAAAGGCTGTAGAAATCACACATTTCCATGCTTACTGTTTTGATATTTTTGTTAGCTGCTGTTTCATTACTGAGAAAACCTTCAGAAGCTCAGAGCTGGTTCTAAAAAACGTCACCAAAAAAACCAACGGGGAAAACAGGATACCATTTTGAAAAATTAGGATGTGTGTTTTGTTACTATTGTAATTTTGGACGCCATCGATGATCTCAAATTTAGGTTTGATTTTTTCTTCCCACTCCCTGCTTCCCACGGTGAATCATGGCTCCACTCTTTTTTTACCGCATGCTTGCTATAACCGGAAAATACGACATTCCGATGTTACAACGAGTTCAAGATTTTCTTTTCCAGCTTAGCTCCCCTTCAATTCATCCCTTCCACCCTCGGTGTTTTATCTTTGGTCTGACTGAAACTACATCATTTAGCGGTAGTTGTCCAATGGCGATTTTGACGTTCATACCGGAACCAACGCTATTTCATTGTTTTGGATCCCCATTCATAACGCTACCAAATTTTTCAACTCGTTCGTTCGTAGATGCACAGAATGCTGTAGTTTTCTGATCTTAACAACTTTTGGCCGTCACACTCTTTTTCGTTTGTTTCTATCAAGTACTCAAAAATTTTGAAAAACACTAAACATTACCTGGAGAAGTAATATTCCAGCTGTGCTTTTAGCTGTTGCTTCACTTGTTCGGCCGTTTGTGGTACAGCTACAGCAGGGACGTTTCGTGAAGGTATTACCGATGGCGGTGGCTGTGGTGGTGCAGCAGCAGCAACCGTCGTTGGAATGTTCATCAACGGTAACTGGATGAACGGTACCGGGGCCGATGCAGCCAGAAGTTGACTTTCGCATTCGGCCGTGAACCACCACGGCAACATCGGTGTCGGTGGTGTATCGTAATCCCCAGCTGGCACCATTAAGTCGTCGAGCATCCGATCAACGCTACTCGAATTCACCTGAAATCAGAAACTGATTTATTCTATCCTATAGTTGAATGATAAGTCATAGTTAAATGATTTATCCTGTCACAGTTGAATGATACATCTTGTCGAATTTCATCGCGCTCTAAGACTGACAGGGGTCGGGAGATATTGTGGGACGTTTGGGAGACTGAGACTCAGACGAAATGAACGAGAGGAAAGTGAGCAGAGTGACCACGCATATATATATACATATATACATATATATATATATATATAT